AGGCTCCAAGCTCTGAGCTATCAGCACAGAACCCCATGTAGGGCTCAAACTCATGAACTGTGGGATCATGACCTGAGCCGAAGTCGGACACTTAACTGACTGAGCCACCCCGGCGCCCCATGTGTATGTGTTTTAAGAGTCAAGGTAAGTTTAGGCTTTTAAGAATGAACCCCTTCTACCTCATACTGCCTAGAGGGTATGTGTGTATACTTGAAGAAAAATGCCAATCTATAATCCTGCAAAATTCCAAACTTTTCCTCTGTAGTTTGCAGGCAGATCCATGAGCCAGGTCTTAATTTGTTGTACTAGGGCCAGTTTTCTGCCTTCCCTCCTAAAGTTGTACTTGTGGTGACATAGTAGCTAACAAAGAAAGGTCAAAAAAGTGAGGGGGTAGTGGATGCCTCGCTGGTCCAGTTTGTAGAGCATGTGGCTCTTGATCTCAGGGTTGTGAGTTCAAGTCTTCTGTTGGGCGTAGAACTTACTTTATGAAATGGGGGTCAGACCCAACTCCTTGACCATTGTCTATATGTTGAAAAGGGACAAATACAATATTGTTCATTGGGTCATAGATGTCTAATTCTCATTTATCTCCCTTAAGTACTACTTTAGTTTTCTTGTTTTTATAACATGTCTGAGCTCTAGAACTTCACAACTTACTAATTTGCTGTTTGCTAGTAGTTTGTGTGTGTGTGTGTTTAATTGGTCTTCATTTTATTTTGGTGTTTTTATTATTTAAGAGCCTTTTTTTCAAGCTTATTTTTATTCAAACAGTATTTTTTAAACAGTATTTTTAATTTATTAGTCGAATCTGACAAAGATTGTAAAACAACCTAAAAGATCAGAAGTATGAACTTGAAAACTATAGAAAATGGAATGGTTTTGCCTGTCCTTTTGTCTGCATGTCTCTCCTTTTAGAACTTTTAAGTTTTGGTCTAGATCCCGTGTTGAAAAACTCCTACCAGTCCTTTGTCCTGGCTTTTAAAGCAGGGATGGAGGGAGCACATTATTTCTTTGAGTATCTATAAATCCGGGAAAGGTGGTGGTCGTGAGAACTGACCAATAATTGAAAACAAGAACGCTGTTCCTCATTTTTATCCCAAATTATTACTTGAATAGGTCTATTTTTATTGTAACACATGTTAAAAATTTATAGTTCTGAATTTGGACAACCAGACCTACCTATTCCTCTAAACCTACAGTAGAGAAGAGCATAGAGGGAGGAAGGAAGGGAGTCTGGGGATGGGTCCTCAGAGTCTCTTGCCAATCCAAGAAATTGACGTCTGAATGCCACAGATTGTCTAAATGGACAAGCGCAACTCCATGTTACATCTAAAAACCAAAATTTCAGGGGTGTCTAGCTCAGTCGGTTAAGCATCCGACTTTGGCTCAGTTCATGTTCTCATGGTTTTTCAGTTAGAGCCCACACTGGGGCTCTGCGCTGACAACACAGAGCCTGCTTCAGATTCTGTGTCTCCCTCTCTCTCTCTGCCCCTCCTCAGCTTGCACACACATTCTCTCTCTCCCTCAAACATTAAAAAAACATTAAAAAAAAACATTAAAAAAAAAAAAAGCTTCATGTGGAACTGTGAATTTACATAGACAAAATGAGACTTTTGAAAGAATGTAGTTGTTTTCTAGATCCTATCCCATTTGTTCATGATCTGAAGGAAACAATCTCTTTAGTGGGCTTTAATGACTTCTTTATTGTGTTGTATTAATTTGATAGTTTCATTATTTGGTCTTTCTTTCCTTTCTATCTTCTGCTTTTTTCCTTCTGAAAAAAAAAAATAGAATATATGAATAAAGATTTTCTAACACTTAAACTAACCACAAAAGATGGCAGCAAAAAACCGTAACTATTGGAATAGCTGCAGAATTGTTCTGTTTTGTATGTTCTACTAGTATGGATTTAGCAGTTCAGTTTTTCCATTCTATAAAGATAGGATTAAGGGGCGCCTGGCTGGCTTAGTCTGAAGAGCATGCGACTCTTTATCTTGGGGTCATGAGTCTGAGCCCTACAATGAGTGTAAAGATAATTAAAAAAAATTTAGGGGTACCTGGGTGGCTCATTCAGTTAAGTCTCTGACTCTTGATTTTGGCTGAGGTCTGATCTCCTGAGTTGTTTTTTTTAATATTAGTTTTTAATCATTTATTTTTGAGAGAGAGCACATGAGCAGGGGAGGGGCAGAGAGAGGGGGAGAGAATCCCAAGCAGGCTCCACACTATCATTACAGAGCCTGATGCAGGACTCGAACCCACGAACAGTGAGATCGTGACCTAAGCCGAAGTTGGACGCTTAACCAACTGCGCCACCCCAGCATCCCTTTGATCTCACAGTGTGTGGGATCAGGCCCCTCATCAGGCTCTGTGCTGGCAGTATGGAGACTGCTTGGCCTTCTCTCTGTCCCATCCCCACTTGTGCTTTCTCTCAAATAAACATTAAAAGAAATTTTTAAAACATAGGGTTAATAATACTTAACAGAGTTGTCTATCATATGCTACAGATATAATGCTTGTGTTAAATTATTTTGGTACAAGTGCTAGACCATGTATGACACTACTTCCAGATCTTTTCCAGTCATGATACATAGAAAAACATGAAATTACTATATTTATAGATCAGAGTAGTAAACTGAGGATACTTCTTTGGCCAGATGTTGTTGCTACAGAGGCTAAAGTTATCCCAGGTCCCACCTATCCCATGGGAAACAGTATATAATTTACCTATAACTAGGGTGTTGCATATGAATTGGCATCAAGAATCTTTGTTAGAGATTAAAAGTCTCAATTCTGCTTTGCTCTGTATTGGCCTTGTTATTAGGTAGATTCTCACCACGTGGTAATATAGATGGCTACCAGCTCTAGACTTTCCTTATTCTCACAATTGTCAGTCCAATCAGGAATAAAAATTGCCTTTCTGCTATTAGAACATCATAGTTCCCTACCAAGGCTCTGATTGGCCCATCTTGGGTTACATGCACACCCCCAAATCCAGCATCATGATGAGAGAGAGAGAATCTGCTGCTGTGGTTAGGTAGGTTGTTTCTCTGAAGGTTTTGCGTGATAGTAAGGGAAGATTAACCCATTAACCCCACCAGAACCAACAGAGTGGATTCCTCATTAAAAAACAAAAACAAGATCCTGCTGTCCAGAATAAGTGAAGAAATGAAAATGAAAGTGAAAACTTGCCGAGTTAAACTATTTTCATAGTCCACTATAGTACCTGACACTTCTTCTGAAAGCATCATGGATTTCCATTTAGAAGTATATGGTATTAGAAGTTCTTTTTTTGATAGAAATGAATATTTCACCATTTTAAAAATTGTATTTCCCAACATTTTATTATTAAAATAAACACAAGATATAAGAAAATCAACTTGGTTAAACTACCCATGGGACAAATTTCCTAATTCAGTTAATACGACTTACCTAGACCTGTCTTGTCCAATGTAGTAGCCACTACGTAACTACACATAACTATTTTAATTAATTAAAATTAATGTCAAAAATTTAGTTCTTCAGTTGCACAAGCTACCTTTCACAGTGCTCATTGACTACATGTGGCTGGTGGTTATATTGGATAAAAAGATTATGCATTTCCATCATCATAGGAAGTTGCAGACAGTGCAGATCTAGACCACTTATAGCTCTTTTCTCCCCCTCTCTATACCACACTTTGTCCTGTCCTTATCTTCCTAACAGGTTTTGGATATGTTCTTCTGAGGCAATCCTTATGGAATGTTCTACCCCCTTGTTTGTTTCTTGCTTCTAGGATGTTATGTCCATTTCCCATCATTGGCAGTGATAAGTTTTTGGTAATCTTTATTTTATTATGTAATTACTGAAGAAATCCAGAAGGATCTTTGTGGGGAGGGGCAAAGAGTTAATTTAATAGAAAGGGGTGTGTGTATGATGAATGGATTTTAACTAGATGGGAAAGTTTTCTGTGAAAGTGCCTTTCACTTGTATAATCACATAACAAACTCTTTACTCTTTTTAGGAAAAGGTTTCATCAAACCAAACATCTAAATTGCCTGACTCAATCCCTTTATTTTTTGCTTGGGGCAGGAGCAAAAGACTGTTTTCCAACAACGCAACCTATAAGCTCACGCCAGTGAGAAAAGATACAAAATTAATTTTTCCTCCCCAATTTTTCTTTACATACATGCATGTAGCTTGTAGGGAAAAGAACCTTGGGAATAATTTAAAGCCTTTTTGGAGCCTTATCTGGTTATTTTTCTACAGAAACTTTATTCCCTGTGGTTAAAGTGTCTGGTTTTTATCTGTGGATGAAAATTGCCTGTCTTAACAACTCCAAGACGTAGAAACCCTGGGAGATAAGGGACGACATCTAACTTGCTCACTATTGCACATCCAACATCACAGTTGGTGCCTCTCACACACACAAAGTGCTTAGTAAATAGAAACTAGTTCTTCCGTGCCTGGGATGTTGTTTTCCTCCATTCTCCTGCTTAAGTGTCTTCCTTCCCTAAGTATGGAAAGGAAATACGTTTGTGTGTATTATCATTTTTTTAGATCCTCTTAAGCAGCCATGATAAGAAGTGGATTTGTGGGGCAGGGTCATTTTTAACCTTGCCCACAAAAGGATGGCCTTAAAGCTAAATATTTTTTTGCTTTTTCTTTTCTTATTGTGCTTAATTTGTAGTTTTTAAAATGTTATTTGAAAAGCTTTCAGGCTTCCACTTTGGGAGCAGATTGGAACATGTAGCCAGTTGAAGACAGTGCATGTCTTCTACAGTTTTATTGTGTGCCCTGCCACATGACCTCTGTGATAGGCTTGCAGATTTCCTCTTTGTGTCCTAGTTAGCAGCTTGTTTCAGCCTACCAGCTGAGTACTGAAAACAAAACAAAATTCTGTTTCTTTTCCCCTAAGGTCTCAAATATTATAGTCTTAAATTTAAAGGCACAATATTTTTGGATCTTGTAAACATGAGTATTTGTAGCTGATCCCCTCCCCCCCCTTTTTTTTCTATTTCTAGGACTATCCTGTTAAGTGTAATCTCATTGCTCAATGAGCCCAACACCTTCTCCCCAGCCAATGTGGATGCTTCGGTTATGTTCAGGAAATGGAGGGACAGTAAAGGAAAAGACAAAGAATATGCTGAAATCATTAGGTAAGGTGCTTTGTTTTACCTTCCTTTTGATTACTTTAAGTCTTCATACAGAACCAAGGTTTAAATCAAACTTAAATATTGTTTGGGAAGATATTTCTGCCTGAGCCTAATGAGTTTGGCTTTTGAGGGAGCACACACTGGAAGATAATGCTGCAGATCTGATTTCCTGGGAACCAGAACCTCCAGGTTCTCAGTCACTTAAGTTTGCAGACTCTGCCTCTGAATCATTCTAGGGACACTGTTCAGTATTTTCAGCATGTCCGTTAAGTGTAGCAGATACCCAAAGTATTTCCAGACATTCTAGATGTTTTTGTTTACAAAAAGTTAAAAAAATTTTTACATTTATTTTTGAGAAACAGAGACAGAGCACAAGCGGGGGAGGGGCAGAGAGGGAGACACAGAATCTGAAGCAGGCCCCAGGCTCTGAGCTCTCAGCACAGAGCCCAACGTCGGGCTTGAACTCACAAACTCTGAGACAATGACCTGAGCTGAAGTCGGACGCTTAACCGACTGAGCCACCCAGGCGCCCCCGTTTTCAAAATTTTTAATGAAGCCCTATAGTTTACTGGCCCTTTTGACCACACCAGCAAGTATCTTCTGGGTATCATGGGGTATCATTATTATCAGTAACAATAGTATATGGTTGAACAGAGTCCTAGAAGCTTCTTCTTAGTGAGAGATTTGGAGTCTACCTATAGCTTGCCATCCCTCATATGACTTTATCAGTTAATTTTCTGGGTCTTTAGTTTTTCCATCTGTATAAAAAAGGGGAAAAAAGTAGAAGTTATTGGGACTGAACCAGTCAGCTCTCGATCATATCCTGAGTAGGACAAGGTTTTAACAGTACCCAAGAATTGGTACTTGAATTGCAACAGATTCATTTCCCTTTAGTACTGTTAGATTTTATACCCTTAAAATAGAACCCCAAGGACAGTTCCAGCACATTCTGTGAATAGTTCAGTAAGCACTAGAATTTATACAGAGTCCCTCTTTATAACTCTAGTCAGCACAATGCCATGTGATGTATAAAAAAAACTGCACAGAAAATATAGCTGAATAATATATATAGATCAGCATTTGTTCACGATTTCTGCCCACTAGAATCACCTTTAGACCCTCTTTCATATCCATAGTCATTTAATAAGATTATAAGGATAAAATCTGGGCATGTGTATTTCATTTTTAGCAGCCACTTAGGTGATTGGTGTATACCAAAGATTGAAGATAAATTAGTATAAATAGTAAAAACCTGGAGATTTAAAGGAGCTGGAGTAGACTGTGTGTGTGTGTGTGTGTATACACATGTAAAGTTTTTGAGAGAGAGAGTGTACAAGTAGGGGAGGGGCAGAGAGAGAATCCCAGGCAGGCTCCATGCTGTCAGTGCAGAGCCTGAGGCAGGGCTCAAACTCATGAACCTATGAAACCATAACCTGAGCCGATCAAGATTCGGACACTTAACCAACTGAGCCACCCAGGCTTTCTTAATTTAAGGGCTTATCTCATTCTCTAATTCTTAACACATTTATTACACATCAGCTTCATGTCAGGTACTGTTAGGTCATTAAGGCAGTCTTTCTCCTTGAGGAGCTCACACTTTACTGATAAGAATTTGTAAGCAAATCACCATTTCATGAGTGCACCTATAGGGGTGTTGAGAGGGTGGAGCCTTCTTGGGATTCTCTCTGCCCCTCCCCCACTTGCATGTGTGTGTGCACACATGCTCTCTCAAACATTTTTTTTAAAAGTGAGTAAGAAATACAAGGTCTCCACTCCAGTGAAGTTGACATTTGGGTGGAAGAGGAAGAAACTGACAGAAAAATTAACAAATGGGGATCATAGAAAATATACTGATTAAGTAGCATAATGCAAAGGAATGACTAGGTGACTGCTTTAAATTGGGTTGTTAGAACAGTCCATTTCTAAGTACAGATCTGAGTGACATAAGTAGCCAAGTTAGTAAATCAGGAGAAGAGCAAGTGATGTACACAGAACAGGCGGTGTTCAAGTTACTAAAAAAACAAACCAGGGATGGCCTGTATGTTTTGGGTGGGAAATGAAATAGGAGGCAGGTTGTCATGCAACACTGGAAACTAACAGTTTAGGCTATTTGGAATCTATTTTAAGTGCAAATGGCAGGATTATTGAATAAAGAAGAGTGGTTGGGGTTGCATAGAGTTTGGTGTGAGACGAGGCAGGGGAAAAAAGTCTCTGAGGTGACTCCTGGCTGACCAGCATCTGAGATCCACTACTTCTAAATACCCTCCAGAAAGGTTATTATTTGAGTGTTCTTCAACATGGTACCTGATGGGCTGAGAACCTGTGGTGTAGTATCTGTCAGATGCCTTTAGGCAGGCACTGAAATTCAGAAACCTGAATCATAAAAAATCTTGATTAAGAAAGGCCAGTTGTAACATCTATCTTCAAGATAGGGACTAACATAAACCATCTTCCTTCAGGAAACAGGTTTCAGCCACTAAAGCCGAAGCAGAAAAGGATGGAGTGAAGGTCCCCACGACCCTGGCGGAATACTGCATCAAAACTAAAGTGCCTTCCAATGACAACAGCTCAGATTTGCTTTATGACGACTTGTATGACGATGACATCGATGATGAAGATGAGGAGGAGGAAGATGCCGACTGCTACGATGATGATGATTCTGGGAATGAGGAGTCGTGACGTGCTCCTTCAGTGCCCCTGTACTGCCCTGCCGTCTCAGGCCAAAGGGAGGGGAGCAAGTGGGGACCTAGCAGTGGCCCCTCAACAAAAACCTATCACGGGGGTGGGAAAAACAAACACGGCTCCTGCTGACTCCCCTTATGGATCTCAGTTTGCTCCTTTTTATGGACCTCTTAATGGAGAGAAAGTAATCCTCCACAGAATGTCTGAATTCTTGCATTCTTTACCCTTCCATCACTGTATTGATTTTTTTTTTTCTTCTTCTTCTTCTTTAAACCCAAACTTTCGCCTCACTTCGTCTCTACAGTGTTCACGGCAAAAACACCTTTGGTCTGTTTTTAGATTCTTGAAGAATTAGTCTTTCATCAAGACGTTTGTGTTTAAAGCTGGGAACCCATTGGAAGTTCACAAGTGCTGCATATGCTGAGTAGCAAAAGAAAATGGAAAAAAAATATAAAAACCCCACAAAACAAACTTAAAAAAAAAAAAAAAGCAAATTTGCCAAGATTTAGCTGCTCATTTACATTAGTGTGTGTGCATTCGATCAGCCCCATGGTGGGGAGTTTTGTTTCCTTTCCCATCTTAAGGCTGAGATACAGTGGGCATCAGGGACTTTGTGCTAAGCCTGATGAAATGTGTGCCTAAGGGCACAGAGACCCTTCAGCCTCCAGGAAATCATCCTAACACCGCAGGGGGCCTCAGCTACTCTGAGAGAAAGATCAGATTTTGTTTTTTGAAATCGATTGGGATCTAAAGCCTGAAATAAATATTCATACTTTACATAGAACTGAGCACTTGATTGCTATTTATTTTAAAGACAGAGTTGTTACCCTCCCCACCCCGAGGGAGTGGGGAGAGAGTGGAGACTAGTGTGTGTGTGTGGAGTCTTAGTGATCGGGAACAAGGAGTTTAAAATCACTATGCCAATTTTGGTTGATGCTGCTGGGGAGAAAAAGTCAAAACTACTGGTGACCACTGTTGGATAAAAAAACATCTTATGTGAACATGGCCTTTCCCTCAAAGATTTTTAAAAAACCCTCATGGTGAGAGTGTAAGTAGCCAGTTTTAATTACTCAGTATTAATCCTAGGTGCATGTGTTAAGATTTTGGTTTTCATTGAGCTGCTTATGCTGAGATAGTGATAGCTGTGGATAGGAGACACGAGTGACCAGTTTCCGCTTTCCTCTTTGGATGTGACCTGGACTTTTCTCTCCTTTCGATGTACTCTGGCTGTGGAGGGCAAGCAGAAGTTGTGCATGAAGCTTGCCCTGGGCTGCCTTGACTCTTCTAGCAGGGCCGAGGGAATTGGCTGCAGGCAGTGTCTGGGCAACGCTAGATCTTCCAACTGTGCTGCAGCTTTGACTTCCCTGGTCTCAATCACGTGTTACTTCAATCAATATTGAGATCCATCAGCCTTCACCAACCAGGGACTTCAGAACTTGGCGGTGATTTTTGTTTCATTTGGGAGTGGGCCAGTTCATAGGAGGGCAGTGTTCTTTCAGTGGGGAAAATCATTATAATGTAAAATTAGACTTCGGAAGGAAAATACAGCAGAGACTGGCTACGATCCTCCTCCAGATCCCTGTGCACTGGTGTCAACTTCTTCAGATCATAGCTCAGAAAGAACCAAAGGGTTGATGAGGGACAGGGGTAGGATGGATCCTAGAACAGAGTAGGTGATGCTTACTTCCTTAGCTCCTCCTTCCTTTCTGATCTCAGGGTTTTCATTAGCTCTTCAAACTCCAAACATTTGCTAATGCCCAGCAGACCTCTCTGGCCTCTAAAGTTTGATTTGGTATTTATTAAGTGGGGATGTTAACATACAAAGGTTCATATGGGACAGTGTTGAGCCTGGTCCCAGAATCTCTGTCCCATCCCCATGGGGCTAGGACTACCTACACCCCTGAATCTAGTGATTCCAGTCAGATTCAGAGAACAGAGCAGCTCTTTGTGACAAAACACTGGCCGCACATTCTCATAGAAAGATGTTGGAACTAGCTTTTTAACACCTCATGCTTATAATCTGCCTATCTTCTGGAGCTCAAAGTCTCATAATGCTCAGATTACCCCATCAGCCCCACACACGTTTACAGCTGGTAGCTTGGTCTGCTCTCTTGGAGCCCTATAAGGCTTTTCTTTTACCCCTTACCGCGAAAGCATTTCTCTGTCAGGGCAGGCCAGGTGCCTTGGCATTGCGGAAGGTGCTGTGTTGCTCAGCCCTGTCCCGTTAGGCCCTGTTGGCCTCTGTTGCACGTTGACTCAGGGAGCCAGAGAGCCAGGTGGAGGTCATACCTCTCAGCCCTTTGGGGTGTTACTGTTGAGGGCTGGGTTTGCCTCTGATAGAGTACAATCAATTCCAGAAAAGACTGGCATGTGTTGATTGGCTAGCAGGTAGACATTCTGAGAACTCAGACTGACCTGTAAAACCCAGATGCTGGTTCCAGAGCTCTGTCCTGAGAACACATCCTGTGGCAAAAGAAAACTTGAGCATGTAATTTTTTTTTTCTTTTTGAGAGTAGAGGTCTCAGGCTCAGGCCACAACCTTGTAAGTACAGTTGTGATTATTTGGTGTTGACATGAATTCAGAATCCTGCATTTTTTAGATTCCTTTTGATTCTAGTGGAGGCCTCTCTGGATGCTCTTCAGGTTTGTGTGTTTTGAGGCTGGTTGGAGAAAGTAATATCACGATTCCGTTGTTGCTTCTCAAAGTCTTCCCCCTCTATTTCGTATCATTCCAGAGTTCTTTTCTATTAGCCAAACTTTTCTGTAGTCCCTTCTTTCCTCTTCCCTGGTGATTACTTGCTTCTTTATTTGCTGGTTTCCTTATGTTTGGGACATATGCAGTAAGAGACTGAAGGGGAAAGTGTGTAGTTCTCCACTGAAAGTTAACTCCCCACCCCTCCCATTCTGAAAAATGGTTTACATTTACAAAAAGATTCAGATGCAATTTTCAACTATTCTGAAACCAGCAGGACACACCTGACTTTAATAGTTTTCTTAGCTGAAATTGTAGATGTTTTTCTTCAGTTTAACTTATGAGAAAAGATTATCTGATGCATTTTTGTGTTGAACTTCCCCTTTAGTGGTTTATTTTGTCTTTTTCTGCCCATCTGTCTACTAATAAAATGTGAAATAAAATATACCTGTATTGCTACTTCCCCATGGGATGACCCTCTTCTTTCTTTGCGTTAAAGAAAACTAAAAGCTGGTCTCAATATTTCCATTGTTCCCTTGAAGATTACACCCATGACTCAGCTGAAAAATTAAAAACCAAAAGTGAATCTCACTCACCTGCCTTCTAGGATATTCTGCTCAACTCACCTCCTCACAGAATAAACATTCCCAGTCCTTACTAGTTTTTTAAGGAAAGGTTATTAGAGATACAAACATCTGTTAACCTTAATTCTTATTAAGTAGGGTACAACCTGCTGATACACGTAGGCTGGTGAAGGGATGAGGGTGCTTCCACTGCCCTCCTTAGGCAAGCATTTTGATTTCATCGTCATTTGTCTTTTGAACTTCCTGCTGCTAATAAGCAGAAATCAGGCAAGAGATCATATCATGTAATTACAGTCCCTGTTTAGTTTCACTTGTGGAGCACTTACCTTTTTCCTGGTCAGGAGCTCAAGCTGTGGGCAACAGCAGCATGTACCCCCAACTCATGAAATGACCACTGATTTTAGAGGTCACAAGCAGAAAAGGTGAAGACTGACCCTGGGCTGGTTCTGGCACACTGACTTGACCACTATTTGAGGCACCACTTCTGTTTGCTGCTTCCTTAGTCTAGTCTGAGGGGGTTATTTAGGAATGAAATGGGAGGCTATAAAGCCTCTGGCAACACCTCTACGTTGGAGCATAGTAGTGCTATGGTGGGGCGACCTGCCTTGTGTCAGAAACAGGAATGGTGGATGGCCCTGGTTCCTCCCTGATGGCCTGGGAGCAGGAGGAAGGAGCTGCACTAGAATCCTGGCCCCAGGTGAATGGCTGCTTGGGACTTTGTGGAGCAGGTATTTAGCCCAGGACCCGCTTACCTACTTCAAACCACCCCAACTCACTAGTCTGTTCAATCCCATCCCTTCACTATTAATCAAGATTCTCTTTGGTTGATGAAGGACACAGGATGGAAAGGAGGATTAGCTGTCCAAACTCTCCCTCCAGCCATGAGAAAAATATCCTCAGTTCTTACCTTTATTTCCTATTTTAATGTCAGCTGACGTCTGGAAAAGAAGTTACCCTGCCCTAGTATTCCTGTTGACCGGGCCCTACAAACAGATTGCCTTATCAAAATGAACTTTGAGAATCACTGCCCCTGCCCAGTCAGGAGGGTTAGCAGTCTTTTCAGCCTTATCATTTACCTTTACACCCTCTGGATGCTGACCTGGCTGAGGCGAGAGAAGGAATACCAATTTAAGCCTTTACACCCTATCGTCAGAAGACTGACCACACGGGCTATACTTCAGCCCCAGCCCTATGAAGTCCAGGCTGCCCAGAATAATAATGAAGACAGCCTCCACCCTAAGCTGCCCTTGAGTCACACCACACAGAGACTGTGCATGCTCTCAGAACTTTATTAGGTGGATATGGGGCAGAAGAGAAAACCCCTGAAACAGTCGCCCACCTGGTTCAGGACAACTGGCATAGAGGAGCCTTTGCTTGGAGACATGTTCTCACTGAGGTGACAGCGTATCTTTGATTTTTTTGTTTTCTAAAGGGAGCAGACTGACAACATCTCTGAGTGCAACTTCAGACTGTTTTTAAAAAACGGTCAGCCAGAGGAAGGCAAGTCTCTTGGGGACAAGACCAGAAGCAGAAGCCTCTGCTCTATATGCAGACAAACAGGTGCCACTTTCACGCTGGGCAGGAAGGATATCTCTGCTATTCCCAGATCAAGATTTGGCAGGAGAGGAACAGGGCAAATGACAAAAGGACCAGTTTCTCAGAAAGCGAGGGCTAAAGTAATTACACAGGGAAGGAAACCTCAAATAATGGCTTACAAGGGAGCAAAATAAGTCGTGATTCTTCATTGGTACCTGACCCCAAAACCCAAACTGCCTTCAACCAGCCCTTCCAGACACTGCTCCCAGCTGCCCGCTGGCTGGGAGGCTATACAGAAGGCCTAAAGGCAGAAGTGGAAAGAGGGGGTTATTTGCTACAGTGAAAAGGGGCTGTAGTTGGGAGAGCAGGCCTGGCTAAGAGTAGCAGCTGTACCACCCCCACCCCCCACCACTCTCCCAAGACTTCTATCACATTTACAAATACATACATAAATACATTACATACAAGAGCGAGTCTGGGAGGCAGGCTCCCCACAGAGGCTCGGCTGACACAGTTACACGTCTCAGGAATTCTAGGAAAGGGTGCTGGGCTCCCAGAGCAATGGGCTCCGCATGTTCTCTCCTGCCCAGGGTAAGCCCCGCCCTAGCCCACCCCTCTCTTCAGGGTTCAGTTTGTCCAGTATGGAGAGTTGCCGTAGGCAGGCTTGGAGGCTTGCGACTTGGGCTGCAGGGAGCTGGGCTGGCTGCGCTGACCCGAGCCACTCTGAGGAGGAGGAGGAGGAGAGAAGGCTGTAAGGGGCGGAACAGAACCCCCAGTCCAGGGCAGGTTGGCTGCCTCCATCACTGGGCTCACCTGGGCATCCTGTGGAAGGTGGTGGTGGAGCAGCTGTGAGTGAGGCTGCTGGTGGGCAGGCAGAATGTGTAAGAACGGTGGGGGCGCATAACCAGGGGCTGCTCCAGCAGCCAGGGGCCCGGTGGAGCCCAAGGCCGAGGGCAGGCTGAACGGTGGAGGAGTCCCTGCATGAAATCCCTGCTTATCAAAAGTCTGCAGGGTAAAGAAACAACGGTAAGGGCCAGCTCGGGCTGTACCTCCCACCCACCCCCTTGTCCACCTGAATCCTTCCCCTCACCTGAGTCTTGCTGTAGACCGAGCCAGTCATATCAGGCAGGCCGGTGGTGCTTGAAGACACAGACACTCCTAGGAGGGAAGGCAGTTGTTTTTCACACCAATAGGGCCCAGGCTCTAGCCTCCCCCACACCTCCAAGGACTCTCTGGGACAGCCTTGCCTGAGAAAGAGTCAGTAGAAGACAACTACTCTGGGCCTCAATCCTGGAAAGGAGGGGTAGACGCTACCTTTGCCAGGCCCAGAACCTGCAGACTTGTTTTGTGCCTGCGATGATCCACCATAGCCACCCTTGGTGTAGTCTCCCGCTGCTGTCCCCTGGGTCAGGTCATCATAACCTAGCGTGGCAGGGTACAAGAGGTACGTGTGAGCTAGGCAAGCCTGTCCCATCTGCAGCTCTCCGTGCTGGGAGCACCCCTCACCTGTGCTGTAGCTGTGCTGGCCATAACCACTGGCCTGCTGGAAAGGGGTGGTGGGGGTGCTGAGGTTCACACCATGCTGCTTGGCTGAGGCGGGAGGGACCTGGTGGGGAAGCAGGAGAGGTATCAGTGAAGGACCAGGGCAGGGGGAGCAGGTCAGGTACCCACCAGCTTATTAGCCCTAGGCAGCAGGTAGCACAACCACAAGGGACCTGTCTGTGGTCACTAGTACAACACGTGCTAGCAGCTATAAAAATAGACGGGAAAGTAGCTTTGGCTTCAGCCTAAAACATTCCTGAAGGCCAAGTGAGACTGAGTAGGGTCATGTCCCTCTCTCCCTGCTTCTCCCCAGAGCTGGAATACCACCACCACCCACACACACAAATACTCACAAACATGGTGGGCCCATACTGGAAGGCACTAGGCACGCCTGTGTAGTAGGGGAGGCCAGTGTAGCTGTAGCCGGGTGGCAGCGCAGGATTCAGAAAGGGCTGCTGGGCTGTGTGGTGGGCTTGGGATTGGCTCTGCTGAGGCTGAGCCAGCGTGGTGGGGGGCGCGGGGGATGCAGAGTCACCTCGGCCAAACTTGGTGACATCACCTAGGAGAAGAGGAATCATGAACTCCAATCACTGCCCCCACTCCCTCCTTATCCAACCAGGAAAAAAGCCAGACTGTCTCCTGCAAACAGGAACAGGTATGGCTGCCACCTCAACAACAGGAAGCTCACAGGCCTCTCTCAGCCCTTCTGCTTCTGCTTCCAGATTCCTAGGATTAGCTACAGTCCCATGCCCCACTCCCCACCCCCTGAACAGACTAACCTGAATACGGGTTATTAGCTAGGCTCCCATCTCGGCTGGCCAAAGCTGTGGGTGTAGCGAAGGGAATTCCATAGTAATCCTAGGAGAGACCAGGGAGGCTCGATCAGCAGAATGGCCTTGTCCCAGGCCCAGGAGAGCAGGGCAAGCAGGCAGCACAGGCCATCCAGGCAATGCCATGCTCCGCAGACAGGCCAGACTGCAGCAACACATGCATACCTCCAGAGGGCAGCACTCAAAGAGAATTCAAAGTAAATGGTGTCCTTCGGAGTTGTGCAATGTGGCAGCCACAAGTGTGCAGACACACTGACAAGGCCGTCAGCCTTCACCAGGCAGAGCCACTGGAGGCCCAATCTCACGTGTAATTTACAGCACAGATGGAAGCTGGTAAATGCCACCGGCAAACTCAAGTGGCTTTTCCTATGTGACAGATTCTATAAGGAGCTAGGAAAGCACCCTGAAAAGGAACCAGCAGGAGAGGAGCTATCTGACGGTTTAACAGGGGTCAGAACCGTAAAGCCAGGTAAGTACAGGTACAAAAGATCCCAGATAAGGTCCTGAATTGGCCCCTCACCACCCACTCCATCCTGACAGCACTGAAAACAGAGGAGTTGGGGCAAGTGTAGATGCCAAGAGCACAAAACATTGGAGCTCTATGGAGAAGGGGAGGTCTGACCTGGCCCTCATTCGCCACCCAGGGCTTTGCCAGTCCTAGACATATTGTACCCTGGCCCCTAAACCTCAGAGGAAAGCCTTCCTGCTTTCTTTGTGGCCAACAGTGCCTGGTCACAACCAGATGGGAGCCATCCTGGCAAGGAATGACACTTACATCCTCCTTCGGCCTCCTCTCCACCTAACTTTCAGGAAACCCATAGCTTCCTCAGCCCTGAACCCCAGAAGGAGGCAGGACCGGGAAGTCAGAGACCTAGCAAGTCACAACTGGAGGCAGGCCTAGAGAAAGCCCAGGAGGGGGAGCTCTTTCAAAGAAAAAAGAAAAACCAAAGGCTGGAACTAGACACAAAAGTACCAGAGGCTAATAAATGAACAAAGGGGAAAGTGAACACAATGTATCTCAAAAGTAGGCTCAGAGGGGATTTCTTTTAAGGCACAAAATGATACAAAGACTACGAGGCAGGATCCCAGAGCTGGGATCCCAATGACACACTTCTAAGGACTCCACCACGACACCCTCTGATATTCCACCTCTGATGCCTGGAGATCCTGGGTCAGATGGCTGTAAGGGGGCCAGGGCCACTTCTAGCTCCTCTGCAAAGTCCTAAGCCTCAGGCAACCCCCAGACACCCTAAGTTCTGTTGACCACCTTAGAAATCTGCTATCACGTCTTCAACACCCTTTCTGGGTCCTTCGAGGACACAGGCAGCAGCTGGAGAGTCCAGCAGGCCCTTGGGCAGCAGTGTGATGGATTGCTGGTTTGCACCCAAGCGGAAGAGCTGCCCAGCTACCCCAACTCCACCTCCGGAAATACTTCAGAAGCCGGAGAAGCATTCTCCTGAAAGACAAAAGCTTAATCCACCAGGCCTGGGAGGTGGAGGAGACACCTGCAGGACCCTGAGCTCTTTGTGGGCAGGTAGAGCAGGAGGCAGTCCAGTGGGGAATAGGCTGAGAAAGGACACCTCACTGGGGAAAAACCTCCTCCTCAGGGAACAGGAAACACCACATTCAGCAGAGGCATCTGCATAACTTTCTACTTCCCAACAATGTAACAGGCGCCCTAGGCTGCTGAAAATTCTCAGGAGTCTGGGAAATGCCAGACCAAGGAGGGAGAGGCACCGCTGCAGCCTGTAGGCTGGTCAGTCAGGGAACACCTGCCCCACTGTGGTGATGTGCCTGAAGGCCAGGAACCTCATCCTGGGAGTGAAGGTCACATTCAAGAAACTGCCCTGGCCTCAGAGTGAGGCTGCAGCAACCAGGGACATCCTGGGGCCAGTATTCTTACAAGCAAGCAGTGATGGCAGGTCAGACCTACACAGGCCCTTAGAGAGTGTCAGCTCCAGTGGGTGATTCAGCTGGGGACAGACAAGCAAAGCTGCTATCACAAAGCATCACTGATGGCCACTTAAGAGGCACTTCTAAGAGGAGGACTTGATAAAAACTCTAGAGGCAGTCAAGCACCCCCACCTTGTGTCATATGTTTTGTCTTTTTAAAAAGAGTTAGGGGGAGCTGGGGGGAGATGAAGGAAGAGAAGGACTCACATTCAGTAGGAGACACTGCCTACTGGGACCCAAGGTCCCAATGGTTTTCAAGTTCCCACGCAGTAAGCACAGGACACTCATGCCCAAGCGACAGTGGCACTAGGTACCACCCCCAGATGCAAGCAGCTTTCTCAGCAGGTGGCAGTGAAGGCCTAGGGAGGGAGGACCTGTGAAAGAGCCTAAAGCCCCCCATCCCCTGCTACATCCCACTCACCATTGGCAACCGTGACTGTAGCATCTGGAGCTCATCATAGCCATAGATCTGTATGAGAACCAAAAAGGGTGTTAGGGTTCACATCCCATCCCCTGGGAAGCCCAGACCCATATGGGGGCCCAAAACAAGGTTGAGGAGCTAGGACATATTCTGGAAGGGGAACCAGATCATCTGCTGTGGAAAGACACCTTTTCTTGGAGACTAGATGAGAGAGAAATAGCAGGGAAGGAGCTGCAGCAACCCAAGGCCCACCTCACCAGGTTCTGCCAGGTGTCAGCCGCTAAGGCCAAAGGAATCAGGCAGCCAGGAGCTATAACCATGCACTCACGGGATAGGCAGGAAGCAGTCCTCCCGGGCCCACGAGGTACTGGTTGTGCAGCAGGGGAGGTACTCCCTGGGGCAGGTTAGGGGGTGCTTTGCCTGTAAAAGCAAAAATCACAGGAGTGAAGATGCCACCACAAAGAATGAGATGGCTCAGCTACTGTGGGGGATGGGGGAGTTGAGCTCACTGTCATAGTGCTGCCCCCCATGGGGCCACTGCGAGAGGGGAGGGCAGCAGCTGAAAAATACAGAGGGCTGTGCCAGGAAGTGGGGGAGACCGAAAGCTCGTGATACCACATTCAGTCTCTTTCCACATCAGAGGGTATCCATGCCCAGACAGAAAACACCACCCCTCCACACTCCTGACCATCACTCTGCACCGAGCAAACCTGCACATAAGGATGATCTGCCTCCTCAGAACAGAAGGAAGGCTGAGCGGTCCCAGGAGAGGGGGACAGGCTGTGTCAAAGGTAGCTTTTAGCAGTTTCTACCAAACCACAGTTTGCTTGGCCCACACAGACCGCCTAGGTCTGGCTGATTAGCAATCAATCATACTAAGTGGCCACAAGGAGCCCAAGATAGCTGTTCCCTGGTCCCTCCATGTCACCAGGCCATCTCAGCTCCAGGAAAGAGTGAGGATAGAAAAGACAGGGGAGCTAGAAGCAAAAAGGCTACCAGGAATCCTGCCCAGGGGGGAGTCTACCCAGAAGACTGATTTTACCCATCCCACATCATCGCTGGAAGGACTGGGCCTCAAGAGGTCAGTGGAACAAAGAGGACAAGGGAGCAATGGCAGGGCTGGAGGGAGACCAGGATGTTCCCAGGCTTTTAGCTACCCAGAATGCCTTGCAGCCACCTCTAGGCATCCTCCCTGGGAAGCCTGGGATGTGGAAAGTGCATCTTCTAGGGGCAGGGGATAGGAAAAGTCTGTAGAGCACACACCTGAGGTCACCAAGGGCGTGGCCCTGGTACTGCTGCTGGGGGCACTCACAGTGGTCCCACCCAGGCAGAGGCTGTTCACTGTGTTCATGCTGCTCGGCAGGCTGAGCCCTGAGGACGTGGCACCCGAGGCAGAGGTTGCTGCCGTTGAGAAGGTGGCTGAGGACTGGAGGGAAGGGGTGCTCTCCACGGTGGCATGCTGGCAAAACAAAAAAGCCAGGACACATGGATCTGGGGGTAAAACACAAGAGTGCAGGAGAACCTGGTCTGGCACTGGGGCCTGCACTCTGAAGACCAGTGTGAGGGGCTCCGTGCTTGGTGCTCAATGTGGGCCCCCACACTGCAGCTAGAGGAGGCCATCAGGACACAACTCATAAGCTGAATATCAAGCTACTGAAATTGAGCTTTGTGAGCAACACCCTCTTAAAAATTGTTAAAGTTGCTCAAGCTAAGGTATCTGAAATAAGGCACAGAAACTCCACCTAAACCACATATGAACTAAGACCATCTGACTGTGAGGTGAGAACCCACCTCACAGAAAAGTGGTCTCAGGAGAGACTAATATTTGATAACGGCATCACAGGCAGCCCAGCCCAAGTCAGAGAGGTCTGGGAATAGCTGCCTTCTACTGGGCTTCCTAACTACTCTGATAAGGAAGTCACAGGGAGCCCTTTGCTCCAGAACCTGGGAGCACTGTGCAAGCCACCAGGACCTACCTAGAAAAGCATGGCCTGTGCTTCTGCCCGTTTGACAGGATCCACCTAGGAAAGAAGGGTGAAACCCACAAAAGCTCTGCAGAATTCTAGGAAGCCTGCCCTGCTGCTCAGCTCCAGGAAGGAACAAGGTACCAGAAAGGGCTTTAAGGGCTGTGTGGGGAGTGGGTGGAAAAGATACATCTGGGTGGGCAAAACAAGGCCCAAAGAGGGAAGAATTGGCTCTGTAATACTGAGACCAGCCTCCAAACCAGAACGTGTGCAGAAAACAGTAGTCTGAAAACTCCTGGAGAAGCCTCAGGAATAAGAAATCCCAGAAGGGGGACAACCATGCACCGTGCTTTCCACCACACAGACACTTCTGTGTAGGTCCCAGCCTCACAGGCTGCCCTACCCATCTGAGCACTGATCTTAGAGCCCTGACATCCAGAATCAGTTCAGCAAGGTAAAGACAGCTAAAACCGTGGTCTCCTGGGACACCCCAGGACTCCGCCCCCTCAGCCTAGACTGACAGCAGCAGGGTAAGGACAGCCCCAGCACCTGCTCCACAGTCCTTTGCACACAGCCAAGCTGACCACCTGCTGCAGAATGAGGAACAGCTCTGACCACTGTGCCTAGGTATCACCGGTCATAGAACTGAAAGCTCTCTTAACCACAGGACAAAAAATTACTATTCCCTAGTCTGGGGAGAGAAAAGCAGCTTGCTAAAAAACTAGTTCTTAACTTGCTGAAAGGAACTCATCCAGCAAGCCTTTCCTACCTCCAACTGAACCTGACTGGGCTCCTGTCTCTGTTCCTCACCTCTCAAATCTGCAAGGGCCACAAAGGGCTGGCATAAATGGCTTCCCCTCCATTTAAACTGCTCGCACAGTGTCTCCAATGGGGCGGTGCAGCCAGCTCCTCAGAAAGAGCCCAGAAAAGCACAGCTGCACCAAACCTTCCATAAGGACACGAAGGGCAAGAGAAAACCCTGAGATTTCCTTTATAACCTTCAAGTGGGAAAGACCTACTTATAACAACTATGAAAAGACTGATGTATCTGACTATACAAAAGTCAAAAATGAAATGACAAACCTGGGAAAAGTATGTGCACCTCCCATCACAAAGGGCTACTTACTAGTTTCCTGAACAGGGGTTCCTAGAAACAGACACCAAGGACCTGACAGAAAAATGAACAATATGAAGAGCTCACTGAAAAGGAAATTAAATGGCTTTCTAATATATGAAAGATGATGTTCAAGCTCACTCAGTTAAAAACTGTACTGACAGGGGCACCTGGGTGGCTGAGTCAGTTAAGTGTCTTGATGCTTGATTTTTGCTCAGGTCATGATCTCACAGTTCATGGGTTTGAGCACTGCATTGGGCTCTAAGCTGACAACTTGGAGCCTGCTTGGGATTCTGTCTTCTTCTCTCTCTGCTCCTCCCCCATTTGCTATCTCTTTCTCAAAATAAATAGAAATTAACTGGGGAAAAAAAAAACTGCACTGACAGGCCATTTTTTGAATTAACACACTGGAAACATAAAAATATTTGATAACATGATTTCAGGAGGCAGTGGGGAAATAGTACATTTCATTCATTACCAGTAAGAGGTAAATAGGTTAAAATCACTGTACAGAGCAATTTGGCAATTTGTATAAAATGTTAAATGCCTGGGGGGCGTCTGGGGAGTTCAGTGGGTTAAGCTTCCTGACTCTTGATTTCGACTCAGGTCATGATCGCACGGTCCTGAGATTGAGCCCACGTAGGTCATGGGATCGAGCTCTGTGTAGGGCTCGGCACTGGGAATGGAACCTGCTTTAAGATTCCTTCCTTCCTTCTCTCTCTCTGCCCCTCCCCCACTCTCACTCTCTCAAAAAAAAAAAAAAAACAAAAACAAAGTCAAATGCCTGGGAATTCGACTTCCAGGATATACCCTGCAAACATAGCTATACATGTGAAGCAGTATGTGTAGAAGGTTATCGAATGCAATACTGTTTTGTATTCAAGACAGAAAATGGCCCTGAAGCTCCATCACTAAAAGACTGAGGGAGTAATGTGGTGCCGTAGAGCTATGGAAAAAGAAAGAATCTAGGTTTCAACACAAACATCTCAAAGACGCACTGTTAATGGGGAAAACACTGAAGGATACTATGTAGGGAATACTCCCATTTATGTTATTAATGAAAAAGGGCAAGAGGTAGGGGGAAAAGGACTTTGCATATGAATTTCCCATTTCATGGGTTAAAAAAAATCCAACTCCAGTGGGTCAAGAACAGAGTAGGAAAAGGGGCAGGACCTAGCACAATAAATACAGAAAAACATTTCAGTATGTATCTCTTCATACTATTCATTATTATATTAGCAATGTGGCAATTGTGTCACCTGACAGAGTATGGGACTCCCTGATGGGGCAATTCTGGTTGTGGCTATTTGGGCTACAGGATTTGGAGTTTCATACTAAAACACAGAGTACAGCTAATCCATGGGAGCAAGAGCACTGGCTCCAACGCACCAGGGCCAGGGAAGCAGGGACCACTCACAGCTCCCATCGGCCAAACAGGGGTACAGGCACTTACTCCGTAGTTACACTCTGCTTTAAATATGGTGATCTATGTGTTTTATGACAAAGAATTATGTCCAAGATTTCACTAGGAAAACGAGTTTGAAAAGCTCGATGATAGTCACTTCCTAATGGAAGGATAGAGCCAACCCTTCACCATCATCCCATTCTGCAGCAAATGACCTCGTCAGAGGAAACAAATTTCCCTGATTTATAACAACTCCTACTGATCTGTACCCCAAATGTCCTTCCCTGTTTGGAGACCTCTCTCTTCTTATCTCCCAGTGAGGGACTTTGTGGTCAATCTAGGTACCTCTTGTAGACCCCTAAGCTCCAGTGTCCCCTAGCCTTGAGTTAAACACCCCACCACCACCCTGCCTCCTCACCATTTCAGCAACATTCGTTCTTCTGCTCACCACAAGCTACACACACCCACCATTGAAACTGCTGCCAAGAAACCACCTCAAGAAGCCACACTTCAATAACCGTCACCTAGGGTTGCTCCTTGACACATCAGGACCCTCGCCAGCTGGCACCCCACTTATACTTCCATTCCTGCCCTCCATACCCCAGACTTCCCTCTTCAAAGTCTGCCTCTGAGCTGGGGAAGGTGGTCTGCAATGGCAGGAGTTAAGTGGAAAGAATACCTAAGCCACAAAAAGGAAAGTCCTCATGACCACCAACAAACTGAAATGTGGTTCCACTGACTGGGCTAAGAGCCAGGACTGTCAGAGAGAGAGAGAGAGAGAGAGAGAGAGAGAGATATGCATGTGCCAAAAGATGGCTAGTCCTCACATGAGTTCTTTTTCCTCTAAGCATTCTCTCTACAATGGCATTTACAAAGTAACAGAAGGTTATCTAGAACAATGCTCTTGATTCAACGTGACTTTTGATGGAGTCCAAGCTGAAGTTAGCAATGAGCCTACTTTCCTTGCAATGAGCCTTTTTCCTCAAAAAAGTCTGCAAATACCTCAACATGACCAATCCCAAACTAGGTCCAAAAGTCTCCCCTAACAAACAGGGAGCTCAGTAAATGCTCAGGAACAAATCCACCCCAAGAGCCCTGCCCATCACAGATCAGCTCTGGAGAGGCAAATCCTTCATGGAAGTCCCAATTTAAGAATCAAGATGTTCTCTGTGGTGCTTGAGAAAAGCAACAGCTCAAACCACATACCTAGATTGAGATAACACACCTGAGGAATTTGAGGTTATTTCAGACATTCAAAACACACATATTAAAACCCCACCTGCAAGTGACTAAACTCCAATCACCATGTGACTAAGCTCTGCGCTCGAGTTCGCTGAGCAGGGAAGGCGATGAGGGAGCCCAGAGGACACTTACTGTGTGTGACGTGCTGGAGGAGAGTGCCGCATGTGCAGAGGAGAGGCTGCTCTGATGGCTGGAGAGGGAACTAGAAGACAAAACAGAGCACCACATGTCCACCACACTGAGTCAACCCACAGGAGAGGCCCACATGTCCAGGTGGGCCAGATATTAAGCTTGCCCCATCCCTCCAAGGGTAGCCCCAGCTTCACATCCCTCATGCCTCATCACCTTGGGGACCAGAACAGGTTTTCTGATGTTTAGAAATGATCTAAAGGGTCATTCACCATGAGGATCTGGGACACCCTGGCCTGGGAAGGCTTCAGGGACAACTTCAGTCAACTAAAATCATTTGCGCTTTACACCATAAAAAGTTAGAACAGGAGTGCACTAACACTGCCAGTCATGGAGACACCCATTTCAACTGTATGCAAGGAAAGAAAGTTCCTATGTTCAACCCCACGTGACAGAGCCAGAGCCCGACTTCCCATCAAATCCAGAATTCAAATCAAACACTTTTATTCCTGGCTAAACAGGGAAAGAGGCATACTCCAAAGATATAGGATGAGGACCAAACAAAACCCATTCTCCTACACCCTATTCTAGTAATTGAATCTCTGAAGCCACAACAGGAGCAAGTAAAAGACCTGCTCAGAAACCAAACATCATTCCCGGGGAACCTGGGTGGCTGAGTCGGTTGGGCATCTGACTTTAGCTCAGGTCATGATCTCACAGCCTGCAAGTTCGAGCGCCACGTCGGGCTCTGTGCTGGTGGCTCAGAGTCTGGAGCCTGCTTTGGATTCTGTGTCTTGCCCTCTCTCTGCCCCCTCTCCTGCTTGCACGCATGCGCATGCATGCTCTCTCTCTCTCTCTCTCTCTCTCAAAAATAAACATTTGGGGCGCCTGGGTAGCGCAGTCGGTTAAGCGTCCGACTTCAGCCAGGTCACGATCTCGCGGTCCGTGAGTTCGAGCCCCACGTCAGGCTCTGGGCTGATGGCTCGGAGCCTGGAGCCTGTTTCTGATTCTGTGTCTCCCTCTCTCTCTGCCCCTCCCCCGTTCATGCTCTGTTTCTCTCTGTCCCAAAAATAAATAAAAAAACGTTGAAAAAAAAAAAATTAAAAATAAATAAATAAATAAATAAACATTTAAAAAACAAAAACAAACAAAAAACATCATTCTCACTTCACATCACTGTGACTCGAGCCCAGAGTGGGAAAGGCCAGGCCAGGTTCAGGGCACACTCCTGAGAGGTGGAGGAAAAGTAGCAGCACAAACACCCTAGCTCCACCATTCCCAGGGACCCCAGTGCTCTGTGACAGCAGGGGCATTACATGTTGTTACACAGCTGCTGATGCTTCTGAGATAGCGTCCAGCCAAAATGAATGAGCTAAAACATTATTACAAAAGGCCAGGACATCATGCTAGAGGCAAAAGGAGTTTTGTTCGTTGAAAGAGCTTTCTATAAGGGTTCAGGACTTCGCACCATTGTGCCTCTCACTGTGAGCTCATATTTTCCCCATACCTGCTAAGCTGAGAGAGGGGGCTGCTGGACAGGTCACCAGGCTGGGACATGGAGGGCAAAGTGGCAGTGTGCTGGGATGCAGAGGGTAGAAGCGTAGTGCATGAAGTGGTGCTGGGCAGTGAGCCCACAGATGGGAGGGCAGAGGGAGGGTCCGTTGTCTTTGGAGCTGGAACGGATGAAGTAGCTGTAAGAAACATATCGGTTTAGCTCCAGAACCATCTGTAAGTATGTACAATATGTTCAATATCTTGTGACAGGTCAGGGTCGGTTTGAGATACATACAAAGTTACATTCCCCAAGGAAAATGCCCAAGCATTTTCTGTCAGATATAACTAATAAAAATGACATGTGAAGGTAAGACGAACAGGATTTGGCAGAGAATAGGAAATGACAGCTTTATAATCATCAACTAGCCTATGCCATGGATATACTTCTCCTAACTAAAGGAACCTGACCCAGAGCTGCACCCACAAAGAGCAACAGGCTAGGAGGCAAATTTTTCTGAAAAGGCTCAACAAAGGATGATGGTACAAATCTGGTAGGCAAGACCATCAAAGGGTTAGGTTTTTGCTTGTATCAGGCTGACTTGTGAAAGCTCATAGCCAATTGAGGGCACACGGGGGTTGAGAGCCCAGGGTACTTATACTGTGGAGAGTTACATATGCCTAAAATCCACTGTCCAACACCCACATTCACATGCATAGTGAACATTTCCATAAACAAACAAACAAACAAACCAAACCCTCAGAGCACATAAAGGAGCTTATTAGGCTTCCAGAAGATCATAAATGTGATCCATCCTAGCTGTAGAAAGACTCAGTTTCACTTCTATCCACACATACAACTCAGATATGTGCTTGGAAATAAAGCATCATTGTCTTTCCCAGTTAGGAAGGAAAAGCAATCTTGACCCATCTGCAGAACTCCCTGGGAGTCTGAGGGAAAACATGCTAGTCTCTCAAAAAGACAATTTGAAAACAAACACAGTAGCAACAGGGTCAACACAGAACATGACCCATACTTAAGAGTGGTCCTTACAATCTTGAGACTTGCTTTTGACTGACGGTCTATTCCAAACATGACACCTGTTACAGAAGCCAGATAAAAGCACCACAGATGTCCCTGACCCAAAACTCAGACCTTGTAAGTTACCTACGTAGATCGTAGGTCACATTATAACAAGTTCACAAGAAGCCTCTGAAAGAATGGCAGTGGAGAGACAGATGGAGATAAAAACCTATCTAAAATGCATGCTATGTTTTCCAGACATTTCATATCTCATGATTTTATTCATAATCTCTAAATAATAATTGGGGCGCCTGGCTGGCTCAGTTGGTAGAGTGTGCAACTCTTGATCTCAGGGTTGTGGGTACGAAGCCTCATCTCCAAATGATCTAGGACACCTTGATATGTTCTCAATCTCAAGCCTGCAGAGAGGAAACTTGCCACCAAGGTTTGTGAAATGAGAATGTCCTCTGACATCCCAAGTTCTCAGAGCTACCAATGTACCTCCAAACAGTTCCGGCAGCCCAGCAATATCAAAACCAACTCTGGGTAATCACATGTGTCATTTCAATTCCAACTGAGGCCCCCTCTTGGACTGAAAAAAATCCCATGTCCACATTCCAAAAATCCTAAATAAAAGGAAAGTCTTTCTGGCTTCTATAATGGATACCCATTTGTGTTACTGAAAAATGAATGAAAATCATCATAACCAATCACAGATAAGCCAAGAGCACCTAACAGGGATTTACCTGCAACCATCATCTCCAGGGAACACTGAGCTTACTAGAATTAATAGAATCTTATCCCCATTTTTTCCCAAGTGTTCACAGAGAGCATCATTTTATCTCTCTTCCGCACAATAGCTCATCGAATCCAGAAGGCAAAGAGCATGCCTTTCCTGAACTAGCACACCAATTTCTGCTTTAAAAGTCCTTTACAGTATTGGAATGAGAGCCCTCTGACTACACCAGAACCTGTGCCTCTAAGCAAAGCATCTTTTAAATCCATGCTACACTCTACACTTGGGGTGTGGTCTGACTAAAACAGAATTATATGAGGCTATCAATTCCTTCTTGCTGTAGCTAACATTTCTCATAATACCATCAGCAACAATCTACTCACAGGAATCTCTAGCTGAACTTGTAAACCCTACCAAAGAAATGATGCCAACAGATAAGAAGTAGCTATCAGAAAAATGCAAAAGGATTAGTTTTGCAGAATTAGTCACTAGCCTATTGTTTTCCCCATCATATTAGCAGCTATACTCTTTTTGTTTGATTTCCACCACACAAAATGAGAATAGTCAGCTTATATACTTACTGTCTATAGTCTGCTGACTTCGACCACCACCATGTCCATTCTATAAGGAAGAGAAAAGAAAGTAAGCATACCACAAAAATCAAATGACAACCTAGCTGACTTTCTATTGGGATTTAGTCAGAAATACATGAATCATAGATTGATCAAGAAATGATGTGGGGCACTGGGGTGGCTCAGTGGATTAAGCATCCAATTCTTAACTTCGGCTCAAGTCATGATCTCATAGTCCATGACAGTAAGCCTGCATCAGGCTCTACACTGCCTGCTTGGGATTCTCTCCCTCTCTCTCTGCTCCCCCCACCAAAATAAATAAAAAACATTATGGGGGGGGGGGGGAGATGGCTTGTTTTATTTTGTTTCTTAATAAAAGGAGAGGTAATTAACACATTCTTTAAAAATCCTAAGGAGCTGACATTTTTGAAAAACAGACTGGGTATTTAGGGAAGTAACAAGACAGACTCTAATCACAGGAAGCAAAGAAACTGTCCTAAAAATTATTAGGCAGTACAAAGAACTCGGGAACTTATACTGAAATCACATCTTTGTATCTCCCATGGTCTCCTCAGTACCACTCAGGCAAGAAAAAAAGTTTCCAAATTAAATGGAAAATAGTTCTCAAATAAAATGAGATGTTACTGTGAAACATGGCTTTTCTTAACTGGGTAGGGCAACAGCAGGTTAGCAGAGTGTGGTAGTACCAAAAAGAGGGGAATCTGAAAACAATTAGTTTGCAGTAACCATAAGGCATTTCATTGGAAACTAGACACACAAAAGGAGGTATCCTCACAAGGAAAATTTCCACAGATTGACCAAAGCATACGGTGAATGATAGTGGGGCCTACAAGGCCCAGACACTATTCCTGGATGGGAAAAGGAAGCTGACAGAGATTTCCTTCTTACAAATGTGAAAACTTAAACTAAAGAAAGAAGACAAGCCTTTAGATGTTGCTTCTGCATTTAACCCAAATCCTGTTGTGTTACTGATAATATGTTTTTTCCTTTTTTTTTAAACATTTTTTAAAGTTTATTTATTTTGAGAGAGAGACAGAAAGAGAGAAAGAGGGAACATGTGCACATGCATGGAGGAGGGGCAGAGAGAGAAAGAGAGAGCAAGAAAATATCAAGCAGACTCCACACTGCCAGCAGGGAGCTCGATGCAGGGCTCAAACCCAAGAACGGTGAGATCATGACCTGAGCTGAAAACAAGAGTTGGATGTTCGGCTGAGCCACCCAGATGTCCCTAACGTGTTTTTTTCCTGAAAAACTTTTTTTGAGATTATTTACAAGAAATGTAGACAATAAAAGATTAGAACTTCAAGGAGGGGAAAAAAATGAGTTAAAATGTAAGACTGAGGTCAGGGAAAGGAAAATACAATACACCTTACCAGTATATATACAGATAGGTTAGAAAGCAATCAAAATTGTACTCTCTTCCTCTCTTAAACTAGAGTTCACTATGCACTAGGGGCACCTGGGTGGCTCAGTCAAGCATCCAACTCTTGATTTCAGCTCAGGTAAAGATCCCAGGGTCATGGGAACGAGGCCCACCCTGGGCTCCACGCTGAGCATGGAGCCTGCTTAAGATTCTCTTTCTCTTTCTGCCTCTCCCCCATTTATGCACGCTCTCTCTCTTAAAACAAAATAAACATTTTAAAAACATATACGCACTAAATTCACACACATGATACCAAGCATGTACCTCAAAACAGCACAAATGGTGACAAAGAAATGTTCTCAAAACCACACCATACAGAAAGAATAAAAAGGGGGAATAGAAAAGAACAGCCATCAGACCTTAGGACTATTTTATTCCACCTTGAAAATCACGCATAGACAATGGGGGCACCTGGGTGGCTCGGTGGGTTAAGCATCAGACTCTACTGATTTCAGCTCAGATGATGATCTCACAGTCATGAGATGGAGCCTTGTGTAAGGCTCCCACCAGGCATGGAGACTAAGATTCTCTCTCTCTCTCTCTCTCTCTCTCTCTCTCTCTCTCCCTGAGGCCTTCCCCAACTAGTACTCTCTCCCTCTCTCAAAAATACAATGGACAAACTGATTCAACACAGAAGCCACATTATTTGGGGTGGAGGTAATTCTAGGCAGAAGAATGGTGGGAATAAAAGTAAAGAAGTGCCAAATGGTCATGAAGAGATCAAAAGTCTGCAGGGTCTTAGTTCAACTAGTCAAGCAAGGAATGAGGTGGGTAATGATCTGAGCAAGCAGCATACCAGGTGAAATTAGAGCTGGAATTCAGAAGTCGAGCAGACAATAGGGATTTAAGCTTAGACAGCACAGAGTCTGATTTCTCTTTTGGAAATTATACCAATACTATACAAGGAAATGTTCAGCAATAAAGGGAATATTCTATATGCACATGTGCATGTTCCTATATTATAGCCACCATAGACACTGAACATTTAAAATTTGGTTAGGGGGCACCTGGGTGGCTTAGTTGGTTAAGCATCTGACTCCTGGTTTTGGTTCAGGTCATGATCTCACTGTTTTGTGAGTTTGAGCCCCGTGTCTGGCTCCGTGCTGACAGTGGGGAGCCTGCTTGAGATTCTCTGCTCCCTCTCTCTGCCCCTCCCCACTTGCACCCTCTCTCTGTCTCTCTCAAAATAAATAAACTTAAATAAATTAAACTAAACTAAAATTTGGTTGGTATGTCTGAGGAGCTAAAATTCTGTTTACTTAAATGAACTACTGCATGTGGCACGCCTGGGTGGCCCAGTCGGTTGTGTGTCTGGCTCTTGGTTTCGGTTCACGGTTTGTGGGTTAGAACCCCAAGTCAGGCTCTGCACTGTGCAGGTGCAGACCCTGCTTAGGATTCTATCTCTGCCCCTCACCGACTCTCCCTTGTGCTCTCTCTCAAGATAAATACATAAATTTTAATAGATAAAATAAAATGAACCGCTACATGTGGTTAGTTGCATATTGAAAAATACAAGAATAAACCTCTTGTTAAAGATGATAGATCAGAGTATATGGCTTATAAAAAATATGTAAACCCAGTAAGACAAATACAGGTGAAACAATGATAACAAAATTCTGTAGACTAGAAAGCATAGACAGAATGGGAACTGACTTAGTTCACATGGTAAAGCCAAATCTAAAGGTAGTGTTAGGCAAATCCAGAAAATAAGGCAACTAAATCAAAGAGCCATACCAAGCAACTCAGTATTTATCTGCACCAGATAACTTTGAAAGTGGGAGTGGAGGTACAGCTAAATGTAGAAGGATTTGTTTAAAGACTGCACAGACCAGATCCCTTCCCCTCTCTCTCCATTTGCACAGCAAGGTAACTGCCCCCTCCCACCTTCTCTCTCAGGCCCTAAACATCATCAAAAGGGTTAACACATGGTCAGATGTAGTGTTAACGAAAATGATTAACACAGACAAAACAAGTATTCTGACAACAGACTTCTCTTTCCGCTAGGCTCTTAAGACACTGACAGATAGACATAGGCCCTATAGGGAAGTGACAAGAAGAGTATCTGGAAAATCTAAACAAGCTCAACAGAACGGGTCAAAGGAGCTGACAAAGGAGGGGTCCACACGGGGGGTGTGTCCACACGGGGGGGGTGTGTCCACACGGGGGGGGTGTGTCCACCCGCCCCCACCCCACCCCCAAAGAAATGGCCTGCCCATGCTGTTCCACATCAAAGCCCACATTCCACTATCTACCCCACAAGCCAAAGCCCATAGTTAACCTTTTAGTGTCAAGTAGGCAGCCTGAAATCACCAGACATTTAAGGAAAACATCTAACATAAAAGAAGGAAAACAAAGAAAGGGAGGGAAAAAAATTCCTATGTTGAGATGTACAATATATCCTGAGAGTCTTAGAAGGAAACTTAAGAAAATGAACCCAAATTTCTGCTACGCCAATTCAACTATTTCCCTTATTTTCATGTTCTTGTCCACTCTTTGAAGTAGCTCTAGTAATGTTTGAACACCTTTGCCTTACAGGAAACTAAAATGTTACAAATAAGACTAGAGTACCCCCACCCCCACCCCATCCAAAATACTATGAACTTGGAGTATATCCTTATGCTTTCTGTATACTAAGTTTCTGAGGTCCATTCACACATTCCTGTGCATGGGTACCTGAAAAGCAGATTTCACACCAGATGCCCACTATTAGAAAACTCAACAGACTACAAGAATTGTATTCAAAAGGTTAACTAATTTCTTAAAGAAAATGTCATCTAAAACCCTCATTTCCCAAACTAAACATGGACCTCTAAATAGGATTTTGTACAAGAAGAAACTTGAAAGACCAATTACCGTGACGGTTCCTGGAGCTGACTCCGATGGACTCACAGAGCTTTGGTATGCAATTCTGTTATGCACAGAACTCTGGTCATAGGAGGAAGACGTTGTTACTGGACTAGTGGAGCTCAGCGATGAGCTGGTCAGACTGGAGGAGGTAATGACTGAAGTTGTATAGGTGGAGTTCTGTACTGCACTGGTCATCGGTAGAGAGGTATTCAAAGAATCACTAGAGAATAAAAAGATTTTGACATAAATTTATGTCGTGTTACATGGTTTCATTGAGTAGAACTATTTCATCACTTTACTGTCATACTATAAACAAACATGTCTGTACCTACACATTTACACTACCACATTCTTTAACTGTATTAAAGATGCAAATTTCCAAATCAGACCCACCATTTTTTAAATGTTTATTTATTTTGAGAGGGGGCAGGAGGACAGAGAGAGGGGGAAAAAGAGAATCCCAAGCAGGCTTGGCGCTGTCAGAGCAGAGCCTGATGTGGGACTAAATCTCAAGAAATGTGAGATCATGACCTGAGCCGAAATCAAGAGCCAGATGCTCAACTAACTGAGCCACCCAGGCGCTGCAGACCCACCTAATTTAAATGACAGGCAGAAGGACATTTTAAAGAATCCTTAAGAATCTTTAAGGAATCCAGATGTCTGGGACCACTTGTAGAAAGAGAACCCAAACAAACATCAGGTTTTAGCACTAGAGAGCAGAAAAATTAATAAAATCTAAAATCAGGGATTCTCTACTTATAAAACAAATATTCAATTGAAGAAAAATAAGAGTTGGCAAACATATACAAGAATTGCATCCCTCAAGGAGCCTGAGTGACTCAGTTGGTTAAGCATCCGACTATAGCTCAGGTCATGATCTCGCGACTGGCTGGTTCAAGCCACATGTCAGGTTCTGTGCTGACGACTCAGATTCTGTCTCCCTCTCTCTATCTCTGTCCGTCCCCCATTCACTCTGTCTCTCAAAAATAAATAAACATTGGAAAAAAAAAATTTTTTTAATATTGCATCCCTCATAGATTATTGGTAGGAACGTAAAATGCTACAGCCACATGAAAGAAGTTTGCTGGTTCTTCAAATAGGTAATATACGGGTTACCATATGACCTAGCAATTATTAGGTCTAAATCCAAAAGAACTAAAAGGAGACAAATCTGTAAATGAATGTCCATTGCAGCATGATTCCTAATAGTCGAAAAGTGGAAACAATCCAAATGTCCATCAACTAATGAATGGATAGACAAAATGTGATATATCTGCATAATGAAATACTATTCAGAAATAAAATGCACACATGCTACAACATAAATGATCCTTGTTATATGAAGTATCTGGAATAGGCATATCCGGAGACAGATGATTAGTTGCCAAAGGGAAAGAGGAGGGAGAAACTGGGAGTGACTGCTAACAGGCACAAGGTTCTTTTTAGGGTTATGGAAGAAAAGTTCTGCAATTAGGTACTAATAATGGCTGTACAAACCCAGCACCACATGGTGTATTGCCTCCAACAGGTGATCTCTTAGACTCCATTACTTTGCCAACAAAGGACTTAATCCGGAGAAGAAGTTGTGTACCTTAATGACTTTGAATACAAGCTGATGGGAATTTGGTTACTATTTTCACTGCTTGCAGCTGATCCAAATTCAGAGAGAGAAGGTTCTGATCCAAATTCCAAGGCGCCAAACTGAACGTTTAATCCTGTGACATCTGCTGAACCAGGCATTTCCACTGCAGAAGCTGGGATCTGAAAAAGCAGAGCCATCACGTCAGGAACAGAGATCCCAAGTCCCAGAGGCCTGTAATACAGCCAGTGAGTACTGGCTTCCCAAAGCACTACAGGCACACTTGAGGAACATGGGGTGAGAAGCCCAGTAGTAGGAAAAAGGAACAGAATATTGCAAAAAAAAAAACAAAGACAAGAGAAAAAAGAGAAAAGAAAAATTAAAAGTTAACAGCAGAATGATCAATGCCACCAACTGCTTCTTACAGCAAAGGCCGAAGAAAGGGGGAGTTGGTGGTGGGTGAGCAGAGGAAGAGAGCGGGCCTCCTCTGAAAGCATCATCTGGTCAAAGAACCACTTATTCTCTATCTATGTGACACAGCTAAATACACAAGACCAGCAAATTCTCTGAGCCAGGTCCAGTAATTTGAATTAACAGTCTCTAACAAAAAGCCATTCCCTCTAATATTAGCCCAGGCACTCAGAAATGGCCAATTCTCATAAAGCAGGAAGCTATGTGCATGAAAAACAAATACGATGTCACCTCTTCTGAGGCTTACTAACCCAGCCCTTGAGCTAAATGTTAAATTATATCCACTGTTGGGATTGTGACTTCTGGATGGAGAACACACCTTAGAAGCTGGGGGTATCCGCCGCTTCGGTAGTTTGACGTGTTTAGGCTGTGGCTGGTGGGCAGTCACAGCAATGTTTTCTACAGTCATGCTGGGAAGCTGCAGAAGTTTGTTCACAGTGGAGGTACTGTCCCTGGGTGTTGACTCTCGCAGTTTTACCTGGGAAGGAAAGGACTCCAACCCAGGAGGAGGAACAGCAACGGGCTGAGTGTGGTGCTGCTGTCGCTGGCTCAGTTGACTAAGAACCGGGGATGGTTCAGGTTGAGATTTGAAGTCTATTAAATATGTGAAGGGGGAGGGAAGGAAAGTAAGCAACAATCAATTATTTAGGCACACGAGCTTAGAGCTCCCTCTTCCGCCATGACTGAGAAAGAAAGGTTGTAGTTATCACTGGTTTCTCCCAACAACCATCTAGCTGAATCCCCTAAGTGGGGAGTGTGTGATATATTATAGCTAGCATATGATAAAAGGAAAGGATGACTGTATGGGCTTATAGATAAATTCTTATGCAGATAGGAGATGCAGTTTATGTTAAGTTATACTGGTTGAAAAGTGGATAAGAAAAGCAAGGAGTTGCTACACACATCTGGCCTTTAGCGAATAGCGAATTATATTTTGTTGCTTTATGAATTTTGTAACTAAATTGTTAAAAATTATTTTCCAGTAACTAATATGTGATATCACAAAATCCAGAAAGCAAAAAAAAAGTGTATATGTTAACATAAATCACCCTTCCAACACTATCTGCAGATTCAGTCTACAAAGGCAGACACTGCACCCAGGTATGAGTATCTTCAGAGACACTGTTTCAAAATACAAACGTATACAGACACACACACACACATACATTATATACAGTTTCCTCACAAACCATTTAGTTTTCAGAAACTGTTCCACATTAATGTGTGAAGAGCTACTTCATTTTTGTGGCCACATAGTAATCCAGTGTACATAGGCATCAAGTTTTAAAACCAGTACTATATTAAAGGGTTTTTAGATTTCCCAACTCTTGCTATGAAAAACAATGCTGTTGGGGCGCCTGGGTGGCGCAGTCGGTTAAGCGTCCGACTTCAGCCAGGTCACGATCTCGCGGTCCGTGAGTTCGAGCCCCGCATCGGGCTCTGGGCTGACGGCTCAGAGCCTGGAGCCTGTTTCGGATTCTGTGTCTCCCTCTCTCTCTGCCCCTCCCCCGTTCATGCTCTGTCTCTCTCTGTCCCAAAAATAAATAAATGTTGGAAAAAAAAAATTTAAAAAAAAAGAAAAACAATGCTGTAATGCACGGTTTTTTATGTAAGACCTTTTGCTCAAGTGCAAGTATACCTGTAGAAGAGTTATTGGTTCAAAGAACAACTCTTAATTTTGACAAATACTTCAAGATTCTTTTCCTAATTTGAATAATGGAAAATAGCATAAAAGATGCAAATAAAAATAAGTTGGATGAAGCATCATTTCATACACTCCAATATACCTTGCCTATGAACTCTGACCATACCCTGTTGACCATTTTTTTACTTTGTTGTTCATCTCCTTGATTTTTAGTTACTCTTTTTTTTTTAATGTTTAGAGACAGAGAGAGACAGAGCATGAGTGGGGAAGGGGCAGAGAGAGGGAGACACAGAATCTAAAGCAGGCTCCACGCTCTGAGCTGTCAGCACAGAGCCCAACGCGGGGCTTGAACTCACAAACTGCGAGATCATGACCTAAGCTGAAGACAGACGCTCAACCGACGGAGCCACCCAGGCGCCCCTTTAGTTACTCTTTTCTATAAGGAAGTTACCCTTTGTCTACATGATTTTCAAGTCATACACGATAGAAGTTGGTAATTTTTTTCAGCAAAGAACCAGGTAGTAAAAATTTTAGGCTGTGAAGGCCATCTGTTAGCAACTACTCAACTCTCCCTCTATAGACTGCAAGTAGTGCTAAGACAACACATAATGGGCGCCTGGGTGGCTGAGCTGGTTAAGCATCAGAATCTTGATTTCGGCTCAGGTCATGGTATTGTGGTTCATGATTTCAAGCCCCACATCAGGCTTTGCACTGACAGTGTGAAGCCTGCTTTGAATTCTGTCTCCCTCTCTCTCTGTGCTCCCCTGCTCATGTTTGCGCGCGCGCTCCCTCTCTAAAATAAACATTAAAAAAAAAAACATAATGAGTGGTCATGGCTGTGTTCCAATAAAACCGTATTTGCAAAAAGAGGTGACAAATCTAGTTGAAGGTTTGCCAACCCATCACTTAATGTATTTCCATCTTAGATAAATCTATTTTTGGACTTTATATTAGAGGCATGTAGGAAAAAGACAGGATTTATAAGGAACATGGGAATAGCATGTGCAAATCTAAAAACCCTTATCACCCACTGCAGTGGGTATGCAGAAGAAGATTAACACAGCACTACAGCTGCCATCAAAAATGCCACCTTGTTTAACTGGCTCTTGGCTAGTGTCTGGGAACATAGACTTTTGATATGTTCCAGGCAAAGGCTGCCAGCATTCTTAACAGTTAAAAGTGACTCTGTGCCTTTAATGTTTGTACAATGTGGTTTATAGCATACAGTTACTTTCCTTCTGGGAATGCGGACTTTTAGTATGTATTAAGCAGAAGGTAAAAAACTTTGGGCAATGAGGCTCTAATGAATAGATACGCCTCATTCTGAAGCCTGGTGGACATCACTTCAAACATGGGAGTGGTCTCAAGTACTTCCATTACAAAGAACTATTTCTTTGAGTAGAGAAATGTACTTCTATCTCTTTGAATAAGTCCTAAACATAAACCTGCCCAGGAAACCAACCCTATGGTTAATACAATCCTCTGCTGTTCCTTAATGCAGTGTGGCATGCGTATGTTAATAGGAAATGGGTGTTTTAACATCACAAAGTCTACAGCAGTATAGATTAGAAATTATCAAACTTACACATGGTGCCTTTATGTTACAAACCACTGACAGTGAGCCTGGCACAAATCATGATAGATACCTACGAATGTTAGAATGAGAAAGCAATCCATCCATAGGGTGTGATTTAAAATGTTGTCCAGGGGTGCCTGGGTAGCGCTGTCTGTTAAGTGTCTGACTCTTGATCTCGGCTCAGGTCCATGATCTCAGAGTTCATGAGTTTGAGCCCCGCACTGACTCTGCACTTATGGCACAGAGCCTGCTTAGGATTCTGTCTCTCCTTCTCTCTGCCCCTCCCCTGCTTGTTGCTCGCTTGTGCTCTCTCTCTCAAAATAAATACACATTAAAAAAAAATTTTTTTTAATGTTGTCCACATCCCTGACTCGGTCCCCACCCTACTGTAATACAGCTTAGAAAATTCTGTTTCGGCCTTTACTTACAAAGTGTTGTTTCCATATATTTGCATGGCTTTCCCATGCTTTTGCACATCTCTTCAAAGTATGTTCTAATATAACTTCTACCACTACTACTACTACTAACTAAATACAGATATTTACACAATACAAAGCTAACGGAATTAATTCAGAAATGCTATAGAAATTCTACTAAATAGTACCTCTGGATAAATTCCACATTAGCGTTACAAGTTAACACACTCTGCTAATGTTCAGCATGTCCTCACTAGGGGCAAACCACCACAGAACATGTGTACTTACCAAAATGACTAAGGACTGAGGACTGGGAAGTTGAGGACTTGAGGTCCCAAGAAGTAGTAGTTGTGGGGGGACTTGTACTATTCTGTTGTGAACTTGGGGTAGTGGTAAACTGGCCCAAACTTGGAGCTTTCAGTTGGTCCAAAATCTGGGAGCTGGTGATGTTTGCCATTTTGGAAGGTGCAAGCTCTCCAAATCCTGAACCAAGGACGGATGACTTTAAAGAGAAAGAAAAAGAAAAACCTTCAGCAATACAAATTTCTATCCCAGAGTTAAAACATACCAAGTATTTTCACAAGGATTTTAAAATCTATAACCCAGAACATGGAATCAACAAGACTCACCTGAGCAAATACTACAGGAAAATATTACCAAAAAAGATCTGATTAAATCCAAGAATCAGTCCTGATTCTGATGAGAGGTTAAAGGAAGAGGACTATTTTCCCTGGATTTTAGGATAAAAGTGATGTCACAAGTTCACAAACAAAATAGTTTTCTAAAGAGAAATATCATGAATTAAATGACAAAGACAAGCTAGAGAAATAAAAATATAGTACTTTCTCAAAATATGGAACAACAATAATCATCTTTAAGTTTGGTCACAGAAAGGCTCAGCCATGTAATCCTACAATATTAAATGCAGTTTGCAGTACCTGTCTAAAAAGTTAATATTCTAAAATCAGACAATGATTTACACATGAAGTATCTGTGTACTGGACAGATACCCTGGACACTGCTGTGCTTATTTCGAGCTATTTTGATGACTAAGAACACCAAAAATGCTCCACAAGTATACAAAAGAAAATGTTACACCTCCCCCATCTATCCTGTCAGGTCACATACCAAGATCCAAAGAGAATGATATATGTAAAAGACCACTTTATAACCACTTTCTAACACCATACACAAAAATAAACTCAAAGTGGGTTAAAGACCTAAATATGAGACCTGAAACCATAAAAATCCGAGAAGAGAACAAAAACAATAATTTCTTTGACATCAGCCATAGCAACATTTTTTAGATACATCTCCTAAGGCAAGGGAAACCAAAGCAAAAATAAACTATTGGGAAAATATCCAAGGAGAATGAGACCCTAGGACTAGTGAACACAACAGCAGATCAACTTCATTTTTACCCATCAAGATCATTCAGTTTCTGAAAAAGATAAGTTGTCAAAAAATAGCTTTTCAAGGGGTGTCTGTGTGGCTCAGTCCAACTCTTGATTTTGTCATGATCTCATGGTTTGTGCAAGCCCCTCATTGGGCTCTGCACTGACACACGGAGCCTGTTTGGGATTCTCTCCCCCCTCTCTGTGCCATCTATGCTCTGAGCGCTCGCTCTCAAGCCCCCCTCCAAGAAAAACCTTTCAAAACCATTTAAAAGTTCACAAATAGAAATGACTTGCATTCTCTTAAGAGATCAGATGTAGAAAGCTGAAATAATTGTTTCTATTAACAATATCCAAAGGCATGGAGTATCCCAGTTGTTCTAAGGAAGACCAAATTCTCCAATTTGAGTAAAACATTTAAGTTGTAGGGAGTTACTGCACATCGCACAATCTACTAACATTATTTATCACTACTTTAGAATCCTTGCTATTTCATGCTGCCAAAACACCTGTCTTATGTGGCTACAAATCCAAAAACCCAGTTCAAGCCCACTTGTTCAGTAAAGGCTTCCAGAATGATGCTTTTGGTCTTCCTCTTTTCCTACCTAATTTCTATCCTGCATTAGCCAATACTATCAAATGCAGTTTCTGTGTGTTTTACAACATAATGAAATCACTGAGTCAAGGAATAGCACCTTGCTTCAGGTTAACATTTAGCACAGGACTTCTCAATTTCACCTACACTTCAATAGATGGGGGCTTTAAAAATGTGTATTGATACACAAGTATGCCTGCATTCACATATACACAAATACACACAAATGCCCAACTCGCAATCCCAAGATTCTGACTTATTTGGTTTGTGCAGACTCTGGCATTATTTTATTATCCTTACTACTGTTGTTATTTACTGAAGTTCCCCAGTGATTATGAAAGTACAGTAGGTTGAGCACCACTCCTCTAATATGCTAAACATTACTTGTTCCAGTTTCTCAAGGTATTGTTCATTACAAAAGGCAACACACCTGAAGGCACTGTTAAAAAAAAAAACACAACAAAACAAAAAACACATGTCCTAAAAAGAAAAAAACAAAATAATAAAACAAACAAAACTCATGTCCTACCTATGCTCTGAGTGGCCTGGCTAAGATTCCAACAGTTCGCATAGACATTACATCAGCAGACCAGTAGCAGATAGAAAGGCATCGGAGGAAGAAAGGACAGGGATGGTTCACCTCAAACCATGAGGGTACTGGGGCACCTGGCTTGCTCAGTTGGTGAAGCATACAGCTCTTGATCTTGGGGTTATAAATTCGAGCCCATATTGGGGATAGAGATTACTTAAAATAAAATCTTTATAAAAAAAAAAGAAAAACTTGAGACCCCCTCAAAATAGAGATAGCATCATGCCTTGGGCTGTCCACTTCAAGCACTCACATTCTCTCGTACACAATCATCAGTGGTACTAAAAATGCCAAATTCTCAACCCAGTTATACATGACATAACGTGGCTGTGCAGAGTAGAACACCACAATGAAAAGTTTACATACTAAATTCTCCATTTTATGAAGTGGTTCAGCAAATGATTTTTAAGTCAAGTAGGAGAGAAAGATTATTATCATATTTATAAATTCTGTTTCTCAACTGTGGATTTCAGGTAAAACACAACAAAGAATGATCAAAAATAATTACCACTAGTGAAAGCTGTGGATCTATATTTGGAGGTGTTCCAACTGAGAATACCTCACTGCCAACTGAGCAGTACCTACAGTTAGGGCCTTCAGTTCACCATTATTCTGCAACTACATTCTTTGGTTATCTTCATATCCTTCACTAACAGTTCCTGAAGTCCTTCTGATAGGAGCTAAATTCTCATAGGAAGTTAGAGTCAGATATGCAAGCGGCAGATGACCCTTATTTTAAGGAAAACACATCCACATTAAAAGGGCTTCTGCTACAAAGTGATGTTTTAAGGAAAGATACACTAATTTTATGAATAACAATTAAAAATGCAAAAAATAAAAGCCTTCCTAGACTTAGAACTGTTTTAGCATGATTTTAGCAAGCCAATACTGACAAACATTTGCATTTTACTACACTGGAAAACAATTGAAAATTTTAATGTCTTAAGTACATACTTTCAAAGAAAATACAAGAAAAAAATTACTAATAAGAAGGATGCCTCAGTGATTATGACTTAAAAGATTTCAACTAATCATAAAGAAGCATTTTTTAAAAATCATTGTCCAGGAAACTCAGAGTAGTTGAATTCCACATGGAATCATCAGATATGTGCTTGGAAAGTATCACATCATTGTTTTCTGGACTGAGATCGTCTAAATATTTTTGTATTTAGAAAATAATTATCAGGCATGTGTCATTCTAGAATACATTTGTTCATGGGTACAGTCCTTCAAATCCCATACTAAAATAAAAGTGAGTTACCAGACTCTGAGGAGAATAGGAGTTGACAGCAGTGGAGCTGCCAGTCCCTGGTGCCATCTGATTGTTGTGCTGAGAATTTGTGAAGACAAGGGCTTGGCCAAAGCCCTGTTGTTGGGAAGTTTCAAAGGAGTTGACTTCTGAGGCTTGACTGGGAGGAACAGGCTTCTGGAGCAAGGCTACCAGATCAATGCTAAGCAGACAAAAAGCAAATGAGGAATGAGTCAAAAGCACATCTTACCAACAATGAATTTGAGAAGTGAATCAATATAAAGTAAATTCATGTTAAAAATAATCTAAGTGAGGTGATCTCAGGGTCATAAGTCAAGCCCCACGCTGAATGCAGAGATTATTTAAATAAATAAAGTTTTTAAAAAGTTATAATTTAAGTGAGGAAAACTTTTGGAAACGGTAGTTTAAAGGAGCCAAAAGAACAGCATCAATGACCAAAAAAAAAAAAAAAAAAAAAAAAAAAAAAAAAAAAAAAAAAAAGCATACGAAGCCACAGAGACTAAAGCAGGGCTTTGCAGAGAAGAGAAATGAAAAAGTACATTGAGATAGTTCCACAGAAATAGCACAATAACAATTCATTTGAAAACCTGGAGCAAATGAGTAAATAGTATTCTGAAGTTTGGCTCATTTTCTTTAGAATACTTTGCCCCATTCATTACTTGGAACCAGTGTCTCTTCAACTTGCCTCAAAGAGGGTGAATCTCTATTTTGAGGGATTGAGAACCACAGCCATAGTAGACAATCTAAACAGTCATAAATATTTCTAAGTTCTACGTTCTACGGTATAAGATATTTAAGCTTATATAAATCTCCAATAATTTTCTCTCTTAAACATTCGGGGGAAAACACAGTAACAAATCCTCTCTAGAACACTTGTAATGTCCCCAGAAAAACAGATATTCCAACTTAAAACTTATGGCTTGAAAACCTAAAAGCCTGAGGAAGAAATGATCTTCAAGATATATACAACCTGACATGTGAGTGAACTAGCTACTAACTCCTCCACAGAAACTGCAAGGTGCTCAGAATTTACTAACAAGGTAATTTGCTCCCTTAAACCATTTCAAAGGCCAGTTCCCACTCAGTTCTCCTGTCTGAAACGCTCACCATGCCAGTGAGGCAGATTCTGGGAGGTCAAATAATTCAAGGCCCACTACTATCTAATAAAGATCAAAGTTCCTAGGCCTGTATTCCTCTCCTTATGCACTACCCACACTTACTCTCCTATAACCAGGTTAAAGTACCAGACTAGTATTTTGGATTCCCAGGTGATGTTATACTTATGATATCCTAACTCCAAGGATATAAATACAGGGTAGTTATATTACATATAACCCATCTGAAAAGATACATTATCTCTCTCTCTCTCTCTCTCTCTCTCACACACACACACACACACACACACACACACACACACAAAATACAGCAAGTTCTATTCCAAAAAGTTGGTAAGATGTATTAATATAGTATAGCACTATTAACTAACCATTAAATAAGTATATTTCTTTTTTTCTTTAAATTCCCTCCCATGCCCAACTGTGACCTCTGAACCCATCCTTTCCTCTGCTTCAGTGAATAGAGAACGGGCTTCATATATTTTTTAATGTTTATTTATTTTTAGGAGTGGCAGAGAGAGAGAGAGAGAGAGAGAGAGAGAGAGAGAGAGAGAGAGAGAGGGAGAGAGAGGGAGGGAGAGGAGAGAATCCCAAGCAGGCTCTGTACTGTCAGTGCAGATCCTGGACACAGAGATCAATCAGTCTAACCATCCGTGAGGTCATGACCCAAGCCGTTATCAAGTATCGGAGGTTTTTGTTGTTGTTGTTTTTCTTAAATAAAAATGATCCTGGGGCACCTGAGTGGCTGAGTCGGTTGAGCGTCCAACTCTTGTTTTCAGCTCAAGTCATGATCCCAAGGTCATAAGATTGAGCCCCATGTCAGGCTGCATGCTGACAGTGCAGAGAGCCTGCTTAGGAGTCTCTCTCTCCATCTCTCTCTGCCCCTTCCCGGCTTGCTCTCTCTCCTTCTAAAAATGAATAAACATTTGAAGAACAAGAGGAGAGGGGAGGGGGAGGAGGGAGGGGAAGAGGGGAAGGGGAGAAGGGAGAAGGGGAAAGGGGAGGAGAGGAAAGAAATAGAAGAGCCCACACAAAATGAGAAATTTGTATTAGTATGAGAATGCCTAAATAAATGGTATTACACACAGAAAACCAAAGGTATTTTGTATTAAGCTTATCTGTCAAACAATATACTGCATTTACCAAAGTAAAAAAGAACCACCATAAATAGGCTTAATATAATTTCTATCACAAATGATAACAAATCACACACATAATTGCTATTTTAATTCATTAGTGGATACAACTAAGTAGATAATGATGTAGGCTATGTCAGTTCACAAGGAAGGTTAAGGATAAAACAAATTCTTAGAAGAAAATAGTAAAAACAGGAAGAGATTCAAGAAAAGGAAAAAAACAGAAAGAGACCTGAGACCCAAAACAAATTTCTGGAGTAAGAAATTTAAATTATGCTTTGAATAACAAACAAAACGGGACCAAAAGTGTTTACCTTTGCCCAGGTGTGACATGATTCTCTGCTGGAACAACTGAGGCAGTGAAGACTTTTGTTTCAGAAAGCTGTATGGAAATGAATAAAAAAATACTTTGCTCTTATTTTACGTAACATAGAACCCAAAATGTATCCAATTTCTGACAATTTTGGGGCGCCTGGGTGGCTCGTCGGTTAAGCGTCTGACTTTGGCTCAGGTCATGATCTCACAGTTCTTGAGTTCAAGCTCCACGTCAGGCTCTGTGCTGACAGCTCAGAGCTGGTAGCCTACTTTAGATTGTGTTTCCCTCTCTCTCTGCCCCACCCCCTCTCATAATGACTCTGTGTCTCAAAAAAATAAATAAAAGTGATAAAAATTTTTTCATAAAATTTCTGACAATTTTTAGTCACCAGTACTCTCATTACACTTCACCCAAAAAGTGGTCTAAAACGGAGGAAATACACAAGTGATCATAACAATTTTGTTAGGGGGAAGGTAATTTTTAGACTGACAAACCCGAAAAAAGGACTTCACATCAGAGAAACAATGAAGTCAGACCAGGGTTCAAGTCCTAGTCACGCTATTCTATTTGACATTATACAAAATGAAAACACCAGTAAAACCACCACAAATGCCAAAAGTTTGAAAGAGCAAAAAACTGATGTTTCTTCTCCCCCCAAACAGATGGTTTTAGTATTTCATTTATTAGTAATCTGTATTTCTTTTTTATTAAGTCATAGGTTTCCTTGTTTTTATAAAAACAACTTTATTGGGGGTATATCACATCCAATAAACTGCAAATATTCAAAGCAAATAACTGGGTTTTGTCATATTTATATGCCCATGAAATCATCACAAAATCATGACAATGAACATATTTATTACCCTAAAAGTTTGCTCCTGTCCCTATGTAATCAATCCCTCCCACCACTCACCTTAGTCCCCAGGAAACCACCAATGTGTTTTCTGTGACTACAGATTAGGGTTCTATTTTCTAGAATTTTAAAATATGCAATCTTGAGGCACCTGGATGGATCAACCTATTGACCATCTGACTCTTGATCCCAGATCAGGTCATGATCTCACGGTTCTTGAGACCAAACCCCACATCAGGCTCTGTGTTGAAAGCATGGAGCCTGCTTGGGATTGTCTACCTCTCTCTGCCCTTCTCCCACTCTTGCTCTTACTCTCTCAAAATAAACAAACTTTAAAAATAAATAAGGGGCGCCTGGGTGGCTCAGTAGTTTAAGCGTCTGACTTCTGCTCAGGTCATGATCTCACAGTTTTTGAGTTCAAGCCCCGCGTCCGGCTCTGTGCTGACAGCTGAGATTTGGATTCTGTCTCCTTCTCTCTCTGCACCTCCCCACTTGGGTTCTGTCTCTCAAAAATAAATTAAAATGTTAAATAAATAAATAAGCAAACAATCTTTTTGTCTAACTTTTTTCATTGAACATAATTATTTCAATTCATGCATATCGTTTAAATGCCATTTGAAGTTTTGCGGGATTTTTTTTTTTTTTTTCAGAGAGAGAACATGGGAGGGGCAGAGAGAGAGAGACAGAGAGACAGAGAGAATGAATCTCAAGTAGTCTGTACACTGACAGTGCAGAGCCCAATGTGGGGCTAAAACCCATGAACCCTGAGATCACCTGAGCCCAAATCAAGAGTCGGATACTTAACCAACTGAGCCACTGAGGCACCCTCCACCTTTTGATGTTTTAAGGCACCCAGGATAAAATTTTTTGAAACCTTAACTGACATTATTGAAAGGTAGGCTCTTTTCACATTTTCAAAGTGGGGCATGAGCATTTAAAGGCTAAAAAGTTGATATAATGAGATAATGTAACTGCAGGAAATATTTCTCAAAGACTTCTATAATACATATTAACTTTAAATGTCTCAGAACTCTGAAATACTGGATAAAAATCAGATTGCCCTCACAAATTAAAACTATGATAGGGGCAGAGCAGGCAGTAGGTGTTCATTTTCTAGAAAAACAAATAAAAAGTGCTGAATAGATTACTGCTTGAACAAGAAGAGCTTACACTCTATTTCAAGGTAGTATCTTAAAGAGTACCAAGGAATCTGTTTTTGCCTCAACTCTATCTACCATGTAAGATTCTGTAAGACACAGAGAAAAGCAATAAAGGAATAACTCTGTGAAATGCAATGACAGAGAAGATCTAAAGCCATAAAAATTTTAGTTCAAATCAAATTAGAACCACCATTAATCACTAACATCCTATCTGACCCTGGCAGAAAACAGAAAATTAAATTCTTTCCTCCTTCTTTTTTTAAAAAAAAGGACTTGACTGGCTGTCAGTAAAACATGTGACTCTTGATCTTGAGGTCATGAGTTCAAGCGTCATGTTCGGTGTAGAGGTTACTTTAAAATAAAAATACTATCTTTGTGCGCATCTGTCTGGCTCAGTGAGTTAAGCATCCAACTCTTGGTTTCACCTCAGGTCATGACTGACACTGCAGCAGCCCGCTGGGAGCACAGAGCCTGCTGGGGATTTTGTCTCCCTTTCTCTGCCCCTCACCTGCTCATTCTCTGTATCTCTCTCTCTCAAAAATAAATAAACATTTAAATAAAATAAAATAGTTTAAAGAAAGTATTACGTAAAATGGAAGCATTCTCAGATTTCAAAAGACACAAGCCGTAATTTAATATTTAGGAAAAGAAAAAGACTGGAAAGAAATATGTAAAAATTATTTAAAGTGGATGCGGCTTTGAGCCCCATGCTGGGCAAAGCTTACTTAAAAGAAAATTTTAAAAAGGAGAAGGAAGGGAAAGGTTAATAATTCAAGTAATTTTAGATTGGCACCTTAGATTACTCATGTTTTAATAGCCATTATTTTTTTTTTTAATATTGAGAGAGAGAGAGAGAG